ATTCTCAAAATAATAAAATAAAAATAATTATTTCAAACAATAAAATAAAAGCCTGTTTGGTTTGTATTTTTAAAAACAGTTTTTTATTTTTAAAAACAAAAAATTTAAAAACTTGTTTGGGTAAGTGTGTTGGATTTAATTGTTTTCAAAATTGTTCTCATTTTTTGTTTTAAAAAAAAACAAGTATCTTAAAGTTGTTTTGATTTTATTTTTTTATTTTAAAATACATTACATTTGATTATTGAAGACTATAGTCATCTTGACCAATCATAATCATAAGTTACCACCATTAACCACCGATGACCATCACTATTGGATAATTTTTTAATTGTATGACTTTTTTTAAATTAACACAACCAAATGGATTTTCTTTTTATTTTGTTTTGAAAAACAATTTTAGAAAACTATATTGCAGACCTGTTTTTAAAAACAATAGATGAGATACACAACCAAACAGGCCCTAACATTACAGATGAAAAAAAATATAGAAACATAGAATAATGGGAAAAAACTACAAGGAACAAAACACATTAAAATTATGGGAACTAATAATTATATTCCCTATGTTAGCAAAAACATAAAGTTATACCAATTTTAAAAATATTTTGTGTTATATTCTCCATAATTGGTTTCAGGATACCAATAGCTTTTCTAAGAATACTTCCCAACATAAATGAAAGAAAGGAAAGAAAAAAAAAAAAAAAACTATTGAAGCTTGTAATACGACTCAGTCAGTATCCAATATAAAATGAAGTGAAACATACGCTCTTTCCATCTCAAAGTCTTTCTATTTTATGAAGCTTGTAATACGACTCAGTCAGTATCCAATATAAAATGAAGTGAAACATACGCTCTTTCCATCTCAAAGTCTTTCTATTTTATGAAGCTTGTAATACGACTCAGTCGCTCCAATATAAAATGAAGTGAAACAAACGCTCTTTCCATTTCAAGGTCTTTCTATTTTATGAATCTAAATTCAAAATTTAACGCTCTCTTTGACTGTCTTGAAGATTATTCCATCACTTTCATAGAACAAAAGATTCGAGGCACGACCATGAGAAAGTCAAAGAAATAGAAAACATTTCATTTGGACTCTAATGACACAAAACGCAATTTAATCACTCTAACTATATAGCGAGCGTCCCATTCAATGCGTTTATGCTTCCAAATATTATTCTTTCAACTAAATGGTATGTCTATGTTTTGCAGAGTCTAAGATAAGGTATATATTATAATCTTTATTTATGAATATTATGGTTTTTTTATATATTTTAAACATTGCTAATCATCATTTTTCTCCCTTTAGTGAAGAGATCAATGTTGTAAACAAATTTTTTTTTTTGCTTGCCACAAAATTTGAAATAAAAGACTAATAATAATGAATTATTAATAGTCCATCTTATTATAAAGCTTAATATATTAATATATTGACAATTCATAGGAAAAAAAATAAAATAAGTCCATTATTTCTATATATTATTTAAGGTTAAGGTGTACTAATAATAATGAATTATGAATAGTGCATCTTATTATGAAGCTTAATATATTAATATATTGATAATTCATAGAAAAAATAACTAAGTCCATTATTTTTATATATTATTTATGGTTAAGGTGTACTAATTAATAATAATAATAATGAGTTGTAGCGCATCTTAGTATGAAGCTTCATATATTAATATGTTTACGATTCATTAAAAAAAATAAAATAAGTCCATTATTTCTATATATAATTTAGGGTTAAGGTATAAATTTATCTTTCTAAAGAATTTTTTTGTTGCTCATAAGTATTCTACTATTGGAGACAATCCTGTTCGAAGTACAGGTGGAAACTAAATAATGAGCAAATCTGCCAATGAAATTTAAATCTTGATTTGCTAAATTTTGAGGGGTTATTAACCGGCCTTACGCTAAACCCAACTTATTACTCTAAATTTATTATTTTACCCTTGATTATTATAGTTGATCCCAGGTTGATTATTATCTATGTTACATCACTTCTATCTTGACCAAATGTTCAATGATGAGTTGAAAAATGATAGAGTTATAGTGCTGGCACACTTATGTTTTTTTATTTTTTATTTTTGGTGCCAGAAACATTGCTTTTGATGAGTTGAAAGGTGAAAGTTCATCAAGAGTTGAAAAATTGGCTGACGTGGCGTTATCTCATGATAATATTGAGTTTCAATTTGTTGTTTTAATTTCTCATCCCTTTTGTGTAGGAAGTGGATTGAATTTATAAACAAAGTAGAGTGTTTAAGGTCATGATCTGCTTGCCTACTGCATATTTTTTTTTATTAATTTACATTTTTTTATTAAAAAAATATACATATATAGGAGTAGTTCATTGCATGAAATTTTAATCTGTGAGAGGGTCAAGAGTTGGACATGAACAAATTCATAAGCAAATTGACTTTATATAGGACGCGGTGTAGACATGAACGTTGGATACTTAAGGCACCATATTTAAAGACCATAAAAAAAAAAGCCCAAAATAATTGCATTCCAAGGTTTTCAAGGTTTTTAAATAAGCTATTTTAAAAGAATTGTGATTTATTTTTTACAAAAAATAATCTGATAAAAAGTGACCAATACCACCTTAACTTGTGCGTGGGGGGCAAATTAGTTGTTTTCAACAATGACAACCTTACGTTGGCCTTAGAGTGAGTAATTTGAGCAAGTTTGATGGGTTAGCCTGAATTACTTGAAAAATTTAGAATCAAATCCAAAAAAAATAATTTTTTAATGTTTTGGCATATTCGGGCTAGCCCAAATAAGTCAAAAAATTCAGGTTAAGCCTAGTCAGGTTTGAGTTTGGTCCGAATATGCAAATAAAAAAATAATTTTTTTAAAATATATAAAATATAATAAATATTAATTATTTTTTTTAGTTTTATGTCATTTTATACTAAAATACCATATATTTGAGTGCATTACTATAGTTATTCTTTTAAAAAAATAAAAATATTTATATTTTCATATTTTTATTATTTTTAATTAATAAAATATCTTCAAAATAATATTTAAGATTAAGTATAAAGTGGATAAGTTATTATGTTTTATTTTATTCTTTTAAAGTTAAAATAATTTTTTATACTTAACAAAATTATTTAAAAATTAAAAGTGGTTCAAAAATAAAGAAATAAATATTTTTAAAAAGTTTTGGATACTTGGATTGGTCCAAATAAGTCTGAAGCCTGAAGATATTAGAACTAGGCTTAACTATATAGATTTTTTAAAAAGAGTAGAATACTTTAAGTCGACTTAAAAAAACTCAACCTACCCAAATTATTGGCTCTAGGTCGCCTGTCTCATACGTATGAGCCCATTTTTCCTCCAAACCTTTTATTAACTTATTTTTACTTCTTGGTATTTATACTCTTAGAGCTTTTCTTATATAAGCAATGTGAAACTTGTCATTTTGACCATCAATTATTACAACAGCACACACAATGAAACACGCATGCTCAGGAATGGTATGGCTAAAATCAAATGATCATCAAAGCTGTGTTTTTGAATTATTTCACTACTAATTTAACGATCTTTCTACTAAGTGATTCGCAAGTATGTACGTATTCATGTAAAATGTCTTTTTGTTTGTGTCCTGCAAATTTTATTTGAAGATTTGATTCTTGTGCTTTCTTCTCCCTCTGTTATTCTCTTTCAAGATTTCTTATACAATTGAAGAAAGAAAATCTGTGGCTTGTGAAACGGACTCAACATCCGAAAATGAAGTGAAATATATGCGCACGTTCTTCCTTTCTTTTTCCCCTTTTATGTGGCCTTTAATTTTTTTCTATGGATTTGGATTTAAATTTAAAAAGTAACATAAAACGAACCAGTATTTCCTAGCTAGTGGCTTAAACATGAGACCTTGTTAACTTCGAATTGGTGTAAACACAACAAAATTTATTTAAAAGATTAATTACCCTCAATTGTCTGGTAATAATACTTGAATCTAACTCAATCAAATCCTTATATCAAAGATAAAAACATGTTGTTAAGTATAGTATAAGGAGAAGAACATTAACAAGGATATGATAAACTTTCATTAATTATCTACAAATGACAATGAGAAACAAGCCTAAGTAGAGTGATTTACAAGACAACATGACCCTGTCTTGAAGGTTGAACTAATCCCAAACAATGGGAACTAGCCATAAGAGATTATAATGAATTTCCCTGTCTAAATGCCTAACCTTTATCTAACTTTTATATAGGCTTAAGCTAACATAACCATGATTAACCAATTAATATTCCAACACACACAACCCACAATAAAACACTTTCTTGTGTCCAGTCATGTTGAAAACATAAAAATTTAGATATAATGAGTTGCTTAAATCTACTCAAAAAATAATAAATTTTAAATTTTAAAAGATAGACGACATATGTAAGGGGTGTTCTGATTATGAGAATTATTTTAAATTTTTTGAGAAAAATATATTTTGAAGATTTTGAAATATTAATGAAATTCAACAGTTACAATTGAAAACACTTGTTAAATGAGTAGATTTAAACCACCTATTGGATCTAAGATAACAAACACCCCCCAACAGACAGGTACACATAAAGATTCTCGCCAGTGCACTATTAAAGTAGTGAGCATAGGACTAAGATCCATGAACCTTCACGTAGATCTCGTTCACAAAACAGTACTGTATAATAAGATCTTCCACCAGAAAAACTGGGAGACGGCTCACATACAGAAGATAAACCAAAGGCTTCAATGTAGACCAATACTTCACATAATTTTTTTAGTTGTCTGTCGCTATCCCACCTCTTATGCCATCAGATGGCATTCTCTTACAATTTTATATATATATATATATATATATATCATAACACCTCAATAAGTCACAGAAAATATATATCTGTCGTCTATTCATCCAACTAACTGAATTAAGAAAGCTGACCTCACATCTATATCGTTCTCTCACGCATCGATTTATTATTATATTACATATCCTTTAGCGTTCAATATTATCATGTCACAACACACCATAATGAAGGCGTCATCTGGTAAAGAGCTCGAGCTTGTTCTGATCATTTCTCTTCTCTTCCTTCTTCATTCATCTAGTCACTCTCTTGATAGAATAACCCCAAGCCAACCCCTCAAAGACGGCGACGTTTTGCTCTCCGACAAAGCAACCTTCGCACTTGGTTTTTTCAGTCCCACAAATAGTTCTAAAAACCGCTATGTTGGAATCTGGTATAACAAAGTTTCGACACAAACTCTTGTCTGGGTTGCTAATAGAGACCATCCTCTGAATGATACTTCTGGGTTTTTCTGGATTAACACCCATGGAAACGTCGTCGTCTCTCTCAATAATACAATCACCAAACTCGACCCGATTTGGTCTTCCAACGTTTCTCTCTCATCATCTTCCGCCAATACAATCTTCGCTAAGCTTCTCGACACAGGGAACTTGGTTTTGATGGAAGATGGTGGAAGCCAGAGAGTTCTATGGCAGAGTTTCGATGACCCTTGTGACACCCTGATGCCGTTCATGAAACTCGGATTAGACCGGAAAACCGGTTTGAACCGCTTCCTTACGTCATGGAAGTCCCCGGACGACCCAGGATCCGGGAACGTGAGCTATAGAATCGATCCAACAGGATATCCTCAACTGTTCATGTTCAGAAATGGGGATCCAATCTGGAGGGTCGGATCATGGACGGGCCAAAGATGGAGCGGTGTACCCGAGATGACACCCAACTTCATCTTCAGTGTCGTCTTTGTAAACAACGCTACTGAAGTGACTGTAATGTATGGTGTGAAGGACCCGTCCGTCTTCACCAGGATGGTACTTGAAAACTCGGGTCACGTGAGACGAACCACATGGCGAGCACAAGAACATAGATGGTTCGAGATCTGGAATGGCCCGAAAGAGGACTGCGACAACTATCGACGATGCGGGTCAAATAGTAACTGTGACCCGTACAACTTAGAGAAGTTCGAGTGTGAGTGTTTGCCCGGGTTCGAACCCAAGGACCCGAGAGAATGGTACCTCAGAGACGGGTCGGACGGGTGCGTGAGGAAGAAGAACGTGTCCACGTGTCGAAGCGGAGAGGGGTTCGTGAAGATGGCGCGTGTGAAAGTGCCTGATACGTCCAAAGCGCGTGTGGATTTGAGCGTGGATGTGAGCTTGAAGGCATGCGAGGAGAAATGCTTGAGGGATTGCTCCTGTGCGGCGTACACGAGTGCGAATGAGAGCTCCCAAACAGGGTGTATGACGTGGCACAATGACATGGAAGATATAAGAACTTACAGCAGTGTCGGACAGGACCTGTATGTACGGGTGGATGCAGTTGAGTTAGGTACTCTTTTAATAATGTTTTTATTAGAATTAAAATTCAATATTTTCTTATTTTTATTATTCAATTATTTCTAAAAAAATACAAAAATTTTTTAATTAAAAATAGCAAGGGCATGATTTAAGTATATTATCTTTGGTTTCCAAAAAATTATGAACTTACCATATTTAAAAAATAAAAATTGTAAATATAAAGTTATTTATGATGATTTATTTATTTGATTGTGGTTAAATCTGTCCTTAACACCTTAATATATAAATGAAAAGAAAATAGTCAATGTGTCTGAACAGTATAATTATTTAGAATATACATAAAAATTATACATTATAAAACTCCAGTAAACTATATCTATCTTTCTACGGTAAAATATGTCTATCTTTTTACACAGCTGAACTGATAATTACATATATACTCTCTCCATTTAAAAATATCTGGGGGGGGTGGTCGGTGGTACTGGTAGCATTTTTATGAAAAACATTGCTCCACGTATTCCCGAAATTAATTCATGCCAGATCTTAACAATTAGGATTTAGTTGGACGCTTGACTAGATCAGACTTGGTTGATCTTAAAAAGTTTCGTACATTTGATGAAAATGAAAAATAGTTTTTTTGTTAATATAATAAAATATGCATGAAATTTATTACATCTCCACATCATTACATTTCAGTATTTTCTAAATTAAAAAAATACGAGTGTTTTTTACTTGCAAAATCTATTTATTCCCTACTGATCTGTTGTAGCGTTTTCATTCTATATATGCTTATCCAAATGCCACCAAAGCTCAACATACATGCACCCGATACATACATACATACATACATTTCTTTGTTTTCTTAATTTTCATTTAGGTCAACAACATAAATAGGCATCTTAATAATCATGTCTTTATTAGCTGGACCAATTTTATTTTGTTTTGCTCATAAAGCAAATTATTGATAGTGTTTTGGTTAATTATTTAAAAAGTGACATTTAAGAGAATAGTAAACAGTGATGGAGTGGAGTAGAGTAGAGTAGGTTTTCTATCATGAGTCTCAAATTAGGAAATAGCATATATAAAGTGATTTATAAGTTTAAGTGGCTCTTCTTTCTAATATTATAGTCTTTTAAAATAGGTTCTTCTCTTAGACTTTTGCTCAATATTGGAGCTTGATAACTTTCATAGAGTCTAGTATCACAGAAAGAGCTATTCACAAAATCTCTTGACTGGCAGAAAGCTAAATGAAGTACAGTGGACTGAGTTGCTAGGGTTGATGTCAGTCCTCACAAGTAGTGAAGTTTATAAGTATAAGGAACTTTTTCACTTGACAATTAGTTTTTAGAATTGAGATCTTCCTTTAGACCTATGCTTGCAACATTTTCACGAAGACATGTTTGGTTGTTTTTACTTAGGACTTAGACCTTAAACCTATTCTACCTAACCCCTAAGCCCAAACCCTAACCCTGACTCGAGCTAGGCATAACATGAGCTAAAAGCAAATTTTTTTAATTTCATTAACTTTATTTTAAATTTTAATAAATTTTCACCTTTACTCTTAAGAAGGTTAAAAAGAGAGTTTTTTTTTAATAATTTTTTTAGCATTTAATAATGACAAAAAGGTAAAGATAAACATAGAAAATAATAAAGTGACCTATAAATAAGATCAAAAAAGTATCTTCTAGAATGCAAGCGTGCAAATAATTGGATATTTTTGGATCTTTCACCTACTCCTTGTATATATGCTATTGTATGTTTAATTGGTACATTTATGAAATGAAATATACGTGAACTCTGGTTTAATTTTAATTAATGCACGTATTCTTATTTGCAGCCAAGCACAGAAAAAAGCCCTTTGGTTCACTTGGCATGAAGGGGATGGTTTCACTCCTAGTCGTTTCCATGTTACTAGTGACATTTCTGATGATCTCTTTCATATATTGGTTTGTAAAGAACAAGAAACAAGGTACGATAAATAAGTCCCTTTCTCTAATATATATTATTGGTTCATTCAATTTTTTAAAATGAAAAAGTGATTACAAACTAATTATTTACTACCATTACACAGCAAGACGAGGGTTGATCAAATGTTCAGTAATTTTTTACTCCATCCTGATTAACAGCCAAAAGATGAACACAGTAATTTGCTTTCCTATCGACAAAATTTAAAGAAACTACTCAATCCCTTTACAAAAACATCCTAGCATGATCAATAACATCCCTAAAAGGGTGTTGAGGGGAGTCATATCTAGTGATCAGATTCAAAGCTTCCACACAATTCGCATGAACTTGCACATTATGGTTCTTTTTGTCCCAACATAGTAGTAATCCATAACTCAACCTTAACCCCTAATAAATTAATTAATTTTTTTTCAACTAATATATCTTTTTATATTTATCCTTATTTGATAGGGTGTTTCATTTCAAAACAAATATAAAATGATTTATTATTAAGGGCATTTTTGGAAAAAAAATACATTAATTATATCTTGAAACACTAAAAATACCTTATATTTTTTAACATTCAACTCTTCAAAAAATGGCTTACATATTTTTATGGAGGAAGTATATACAATGAGTTCACCAATAGCCAAGGACAAAAGCCTATATTTGCATTAAATGATTCTCTTATCATGCTATCATAAATTATTCTCATTTTTTGAAACCCAACTAACTGTTTTTGACGCAGTAAGAAGAAGACATGGCAAAAATTTGCTCAACTACAACTTTGAGAACTCTCCCAGTATGGATGACTTTGATGGGGGGAAAAATTCAGATTTACCATTGTTTGATCTTATAGACATAGCTGCAGCAACAGAGAATTTCTCTGATGCTAACAAGCTTGGACAAGGAGGTTTTGGTTCGGTTTATAAGGTACTTAGTGTCATTCTTCTGTTAACCAGTCTTGAATTTAGAAATTTCATCAATATTGTTTAGGGTTTATAGCAGGATATCTAAGAAGCACATCATTTAGGAATTGACTCCAGATTTTGATTTTAGGGTCTGCTCAGTAATGGAATGGCAATAGCAGTGAAGAGGCTATCAAAGTACTCTGGACAAGGCATTGAGGAATTCAAAAATGAGGTTGTTTTAATTGCGAAGCTCCAACATAGGAATCTTGTGAGAATCTTGGGTTGTTGCATACAAGGAGAAGAGAAGATGTTGATCTATGAGTATTTGCCAAATAAAAGTTTGGACTTTTTCATATATGGTAGGTCATGATTTTTCATGTTTCTATGTCGATCATTTTCAAATTTCATACAATAGGACAAGTCCTCAAGCATGCATTATGTTAATGATTTCTTCAAAATTCAGATCAAGTAAGGAAGTTACAACTAAACTGGAGCAAACGGTTTCATATCATATGCGGGGTTGCGAGGGGAATCTTATATCTCCATCAAGATTCAAGGTTAAGAATCATTCATAGAGACTTGAAGGCCAGTAATGTCTTATTAGACTCTTCATTAAATCCAAAAATTGCAGATTTTGGTATGGCCAGAATATTTGGAGGAGATCAAATTGAAGCAAACACAAAACGTGTTGTTGGAACCTAGTAAGTATTGCACAATTTCAAGCATATCATCAGTTCTCAACATTATGTTTCCTAGAATCCAATTTCCCTTTGTTAGACATGAATAATATTAGAGATTAATACAAAACTATGCTTGAGCATTGCTTAAACAGATTAAGTTTTTAAGTGGAAATTAATTATTCCTAGACTTCTATCCACATGCCAATCCCAAGTTTCAAAATCAAATAAAACTTGAACATGATGTTTGTGGAGTTGAGTTATCTAACTCCTACAATTTAACCTTTTAAAATGGCATTGTCATTGATATGTTTAAACTTTTAATAATTTTTTTTCTTTGTAGTGGTTATATGTCACCAGAATATGCAATGGAAGGATTATTCTCAGTAAAATCTGACGTGTATAGTTTTGGAGTTTTGCTTCTAGAGATTGTTACTGGCAAAAAGAATAGTGGTCATTATGAAGAAATCACCTCAACTTTGGTCGGACATGTGAGTATCTATCAGACACAACCACTTGAAATTAAATCTATCCCTCATCAATCTAATTATCTAATATCTTCAGATTTGGGAACTATGGAGAGAAGGTAGAGCCATGGAGATTGTTGATTCATCACTAATAGACGAGGCATGCCTTGATGAGCTTCTAAAATGCATCCAAATTGGGCTTCTCTGTGTACAAGATTATGCAACAGACAGACCAACTATGTCTTCAGTTGTTTCCATGTTGGGAAGTGACTCAACTCTTCCTTCTCCTAAACAACCAGCATTTATTTTCAAAAGATCAAATACCTGTGACAATTCAAATCCATCAACCAGTGAAGGAGTTAATTCTGTAAATGAGATGAGTACTACTGTGATCGAAGCTCGCTAAAGGCCATGACTCTCAAAATAAGCATAAATGTGTGATCTTATAAGCTGGCAATATATTATTTGTGAATGAATAATAATGCTATGTTGTCAAACATGGTGCATGAGAATGATGTATATCTTGTTGAAAGTTGGGAGTAAAAATTGTCCAACTATAACTTGCTATTTCTCATTAGCTTTATTGTTAGAAGTGGGAAAAAGTTAGAATCTTGTCAAGCGTTCTTTTTAATTTTGGGTACCTGCTTATTATATGGCACAAAATTGACCGCAGATTCCTTCAATTTTAGGTTGAAAGTTAAAATAATCACAACTAGATGGCCAATTTGATAGACTTGGTAAGATGGCGTGTTGAAACATCAAATCTACAAATTGGCTTGTACACACATGAATGCGAACTGCATATAGGCTATAGCAAGGCAATTAAAATTGAAACGATGCCTAATCCAGTCCAGGACTAAACCAGAATTAGACATCTAAACGATGGCTAACTATGATGGGGTTTACTGTTCATGAACCTTGTTTGAACAGCAACCCCGTCAAACGTTTTTTTTTAAAAAAATATATTTAGTTATTTTTTTTAAAAAATATTCTTTGAGTGTTTTTTTATATAGTTGGGAGAAATTGTGAGAATGTGAGGATTAAAAAAGCTAGGACCCATGGTTAAAAAAAAGGCAGATGTGAGATTCAAAGTAAAAAAAATATAGGGTGAATGTGAGAGTTGCTATAGAAACGAGCGGTGTGGGATATACGACAACAATATAACAAATTTAATTTTTATCGGTATAATTATATTTTTTGAATTATTATGTTAGTTCTTTATATTTTGAAACACAACCTGGCCCTCAAATTAATATGATATGTAAAGTAGGTTGATGCTTAACATGTTTATAGGACTAAATTAAATGAGAACAAATCAACTTTGTTTTTTACATATATTTTTATCCCCCCCCAAACTTTCCTGTTCTCCTCATTTTACCTTATCTCCATGTACACTACATTTTGTTCTTTTTTCCCTCTTAATTTCTGAGATTGTTTTCTTTCTTTTTTCTATCTAAATAATTACATTTCTTTACATTAATTTACATGACTGCTAACTCAATATTATGTTATTCATGTCAATAAATTTTAATGATGTTACTTCTTCTTTAAAAAATAAATTCAAAGTTGATAATTGAGAATTTGAAAGACAAATGAAATTGATATAAAAGAGGATTCAAACCATCATGTCCTACAGCTTTCAGTGACCCCATAATAAAAATAGCTTGCTTGATCTAATTCCCTGTCACTATTCCCCCTAACGCCATTGCAAAGGCTGCTGAAAGTTCAAGAAACTGTCCACCAAAATCAATTATTGTGGGAACTTCATTTTCCTCGGTACAAAGATTCGAGATAAAACGAATGCCCAATCTCATAATTCTTATTCCCATCCTCATCTTGCAAAGCTTCTATTATATGTTTCTTCTCTTACGTGCATTCACCGTAGAATGGAAGTAGTATTGCGTATTCTTAATCTCCATGAGTGTAGCAGTTACATGTAGATCTCTGAAGCCACGTAATTTCCTCTTGCCCAAGCGTTCTCTCCAATTCCTGGCAATACTTCTCCCTCTCCTTTTCCCAATACTTCGAACTCAGGCAGAATTCCAACTTCTTATTAATTACCTCCCGCTTGATAAATTCTGAATAATACACAAACTATATTGAATGAGGCGCTTGGGCCAGAATTATTACAATCAAGTGGGCAAAAGCCACACTCTCACTGCTAAAGGAAACCTGGACTGATAAGACAGATGTAAACAGCCCAGTCAACCAAGTAACAAGAACAAGAAAATGGAACAAATAAAAGAAGACTACAACAAACTAACCAAAAGCAAACAAAGATCAAGGCCCAATGTCCCACAACAAATCTGGCCCAATTATCTTAACTCTCCATTGCCCCTCAAGTTGGACCATAATATATTCAAGGTGCCCAACTTGGATAATAACTTGTCATGATTCTTTTTCCGAAGAGCCTTTCTTAGAGTATTTGCCTGTTGATCACAAGAAGTCACATAATTCAACGTAATTAATCCATTCTGCAGCTTTTCCCTCACGAAATATTTCTGTGTTTTGTCCTTTCATAATAAACAGGATTAGAAGTTATCTGGATCGCAGCCTTGCTATCAGAAACTATAGAAATAAGAGTGAGATTAATGATTTGTAAATCCTTTAATAAACTAGTTAACCAAATAATTTCAGAGACAATACTCCCCAAGCCCTCTATTCCTTTTCAATTGAGGATCTTGACACAATACTCTGCTTCTTGGATTTCCAAGCAATTATGGCACCTCAGTCCAAGTTTAATTATTTGGAGTTTTGGTATTTTTAGCCTCGGATTGGAAACCTAATTTACTTCATCCCTTTCAAAAGCCTCTTAAGAAGCTTTGGATGTCACCAAAATTTGTTAGTCAATTTGAAAGAATAATTCAAATATTAAATATAATGTATTTTTAATCTATGTGAAAACTACTACTTATTAGTGGAGTTTTTGGTATAATAACAACTATCGAGCTAGGATTTAAAGGATGCCTTACAAGGCATTACACGGTAGACAATGTGATTCTATTGGATAGTTTGATATGGGTGAAGTTAAAATTTATGGACCAAATTTGGTCTAGAACAGCATTGAGAAGATAAGGTAATCAAGCAAAGGAAGTTATTGTGACTATTCTCAATAAGCAAGTAAAAAAAAAAAAAAAGCTGCGATCTAAAGAAATAGTGAATGTGTTATGATGCAATCATTCTCAAGAAGAATCTACACGAGAAGTGGAAAATGTAATAAATACTAAGTATCTGCACTTATTCAAAGACTGAGGTAGGTTCATATTTAAATTAGAGGATTGAATTTTTTAAGGGGATAGAATGTAATAGCCCAACAATTTGAGTTATTAAAATTAATGATAAAGCATTTTAATTATCATTATATATATAATTTGGATTAGACTTAGCAAGGTAAGTTGATAGCTTCATGGTGACAAGCATTAGGTGTTTATTTATAGGTCTTGAGTTTGAATTCTCTTAGAGCATAGAGGGAAATTTATTTTTTCTTCTGCCTCAAGAAATTACTAAAATGCCCTAAATAATAATAATAATAATAATAATAATAATAATATAATAATAATAAAAAGAATAAGAAGGCATTAGATTCATCTCTTCCCCTCCATTTGCTCAAAGCATCATTTTTTTGCTAGCACAGAGAGAGCTTGGACCCTCTAATGTAACATCCCAAATTTGAATTCCCTAATTAATCAAGTTAATTGGGTTGAGCAAGGGATAATTGGGTTAGAGAGGGATAATGGACCTATTGGGAGTTGGTTATGACCCTAGGATCGAGTCCAAAGTAGAATCGAATATTATAAGCCTAAAAATAGGAAGAAAATCAAAGGAGTATGGCTCTGTGCCACGCGCCGCAGCATGTAAAGCACATGCCTGGGCACATCAAGCTAGGAAAAAGAGGAAGACCTCTCTGTGCCACAAGGTGCAGCATGTGTAGCTTGTGTTGCGACATATGATAGAAATTTGGTAGGACTTTAGAGGAGGTTATGTTGAAATTTCTACAAAAAATTATGACTTTTGTTAGCATACAAATTATATATGTAAGAATTATACCCTGTATCATGAATGCATTTATAATTAAAAAACATGACTTTCTTGAGTTAAGGTTTAAAGGATGTGAGTTTTGTGCATATTTCATGCCGATTATGCCTAAATTTTAGGGCATGACAATAAGAGAGTTCAAATAACATGCATATGTTCAAGAGTTATGGCCCTCACTGAGTCTAACCACAAGTACTCATACCATTCAAAGAATTAACTTCTTCACTAATAGATTGATGATTTGAGTGATTGATCGGTCCCATAAATGCATGAGATCGACGTAGTAATAAAAACCTAGAGTATTCCAAGAATTGAACCTAAGGGAAAGTAGTGATCCTTGTTGTTTTAACAAGACAAATAATGATAATAAAAAAGATTTGTTTCAAGGGAATTAATTAAAATTGAGGTAAACAAACGCAATATTCAAATAATGATCCAATCAGTCAATGAATGTCAGGGATTGAGTTTCATCTACCAAGACTCTTTTACTTTTACCTAATGAGATTTCTAAGCAATCTAAGCGACGAACGCTACTAAGTTATCTTAACTATCTTAAGATGTGCCTGATTAGAGTTGAATTAGCTCTAGCTAAATCCTAAAACCTCTAATTAAACCATTAAAGCCACAATCACAGCTGCCATAAACACTTAGATTATCTCTAATCCAATTATTTATGTCTATTCTCTTAAGTTTAAATCCACTCTTCTCATCTTGGTGCATCAAGCAAATCCACAAATAAAAAGCAAGGTGGCCAGCCAAACATTCCATAATAAAAGTAGAAAGAATAAATGACAATTGCATTTAACCATAAGAAACTAGTGTTTCAACAATAATAGGGATAAAAAACACAGTGAGTAAAAGGTAAGTTGATCCTAGTTAAGTTACACCATACCTTAACATAGGATTTAGCAACACATAATCAAATTAAAACTAACAAATCCTATGAGAAAAGACATTAGATCAAAGTAAAGGAAAATGAATAGAAAAGTAACTCCTAATTTAGGATAGTGAACTCTTGTTTTGTGTCTAATTGTCTCTTCCATTGATGAATAATTAGATCCTCCCTTAAGAACCATAGCTCTACTTTTTAAGTGTTTCTCTCATCTCCTCCCTGAAGTCTTGTACTTAAAATAGCTCTACCACATGTTTATGTCCTCAATTGCAGACAATTATGGCCTTCATATCCTTGTACTAGGGACGATTGTAAAATGAACACTCCCTCTCTCTTGACCTTCATTTGTGACGAGAAAAAAATTCCTTCATCTCTTAATCAAGGATGATGAAGATTCCCGTTATCTAGAGCTATAAGACCCTTCAACTAGGGATGGTCAAGATTTTTTTGCACTTAAAACTGCAGATGGTTTGGTACAAAAATTTCTTAGCTCTTTTAGGGGTCTCATTTGTGAACGATAGTGATTCCTTTAAGTTCATCCACGGACGGTAGAAGATGTCTGGGCTTCTTGCACATTCTTGGTCTACTTTACTTAAGTTATGCTTGTTTTCCCTCATTTTAGTTTCATTTTCCTTAATCATCATAGATGA